CAAAGTACAAATGGATGTGTGTGTGTGTGTGTGTCAGTGTGTGTGTGTGTGTGTGTGAGTACAACTACTAGATATTGACCATTACAGTGTGTGTATGTGTATGTGTGTGTGTGTGTGTGTGTGTGTACAATGACTCTTTAATAATTGTATGAATGCGTGTACAATTATTTCCTTTTTTTTTTTTTTATTAAGCACGATCAATATAAGAAAACAAAAAAATGTTAAAAAATGTAAAAAAACGAATTAGCAGAAAAAATAAAATAAAAATGGATTTCTATTTTGAATGCAGATAACAGTAAATGCGTATAATGCTTATGTTAGCATACATTGAATTATACGCGCACTTGTAATGTGAGTTGTCGAAGCTTGCAAATTGTTAAAGATATGACAGTGCATGAATGTGCATAGTAGTGACAAATGTGAAACATATGCTACAATATTTTCGTATTGTAGAATGAATGTCGACCACAATGTCTCGCAAAACAACGCATCATCGACTGACACTTCATCACAAGGCAACAGTTCAAATACACAGGCCTTGGATCTCATAATATTCGACAAAAATATATGGGAAAATGACATCGTCTGCATAGACTCTCGCTATTTGCACCTTGTCGAAAAAGTCGTCGGACGGTGAAATCCCCACGTATTGGGTTATGGGAGGCAATGACATTGAGCTTCGTAGTGACGACGGCAGAGACTTCTGGTACTTGTACTTATTGCTGAAAGAAGTCGATGTAGAGCCCGACGGCGAGGACAATGCTGAAGACCCTGTCACACCAACGGAGATGATTGACGCGTGGAAAACATTGTGTGTGAAGCAGCAATGGCTACAACAGGACAAGAAACATGTCAAGCAATGTGCTTGGTTTTGCATCGAAAAACCGCACCTGCGCTTCCCGATCTTTGTAGATTTTTATGGTCGAATCCGGGTGTTGAATCGTAACACCACGGTTGTGACACTTTTCACAGTGGCCAAGGTGGACGATAAAAAAATCAACTCGTTGTTCCTTGCTAGAGAGGAGTTTCACAATGGCACACTTACGCCTCAGGAAGCATTCAACAACCCTACACTCGCCGAATTGCTTGGGCTCTTAAAAACTCGAATATCCCATGATCACGCTCTAAGGAAAAAACTCGATATGAGGATAGAATGCTTAGTGCAGAGTCAGGTTTATTATCTGTTTGATAATTATGACGAGATATCATGGACCATTGAACATCGTGATGATATGTTAGACGTTCTTTTTTATAAAAAAAATACACACGTGGGGGGAAGAAAGTAGTGACATTTTCTACTGGTTGGAGCAGAGACGTGTACGACTGTCCTTATTGTGGAAAAAACGGACACATTCATCTTTAGCACAGTCGAATAAAATGAGCTAACGAGTGCTCTGTACACGTGCAAAATACTTCAAAATAGGGAAACTGTCGAAATAATGAATAAAATAAACAAAATAAACAAAATACTTCAAAAAGAACAGAGAAAGAATGAATAAAATAAGGTACTGTCGCACAAAAAATAAGGAAAAGTACACAAAGGTCAAAAAAACAAAGCACGAAGTGCTCTGTACACGTGAAGTGGATATGTGCATGGAAAAAAAAACAAGAAAACTTTAAATAATAACAACAAGTACATAACAAAAAAAATTATGAACACGAGCAAAGTTGCAGAAAACTAACTAATTTTGAAAGTAAACTAAAGGTCGAGTCACTAAAAAAAAGCAAACTAAAGAAAAGCAAAAAAAACTGACATAAAATTTGCACATGTGCAGCATAGTACCATAGGATCATATATGTAACATTTATAAAAAAAAAGGTTTGTTCTGGACATAAAATAAGGACTTGGATTTCGTGAAAATAGTAAAAAATGTCAATTTTAACAAAATGTCAGTTCAACCATACGAGCGTGCTCCACACATCATGGTGGACGGCCACGAGGAGTTCCTCGTTTCAGACATCATTGGTCTCCGAGTCACTGACGACAACCCTCCTTACGTCGAGTATCTTGTACG